AAAAAATTTTTACCACATGAAATATACATTTTCCCACACACAAAGAGAAGGATACATGCACAATAGTAGAGTAGTACATGCACAGTATATATTGTGCATGTACTAGTCTACTAAATGAATAAATGACACTTACCTTTATTGAAGATGCAGCAATGACTGATGAGACACTGTGTCCTGGGAGTGCCTTTTCCTCCTGAGTACTGTAGGTCCTGTTTGGCATTTTCTTCCAGAACAGGCCTTATCACACTGTGTATGCCACTACGATTCTTAAATCTCTCAAACCAACCTTTGCTGGCTTTAAATTCACCAATATGAGCACTAGTTCCAGGCATTTTTCCCTGTTCACCTGGGTGTTAGTCGACTTGTGTGGGTTGCATCCTGGGAGACAAGATTAAGGACCCCAATGGAAATAAGTTAGACAGTCTTCGATGACACTGACTTTTTTGGGTTATCCTGGGTGGCAAATCCTCTGGGGTTAATTGTTTCTTGGTATTCTCAATAAGCCACACCAACAACGGTGCTACAGCAGCAGCAGCAGCTGACAGTGCAGCAGCAGCAGCAGCAGCAGCTGACAGTGCAGCAGCAGCAGCAGCAGCTGTACCACCAATAGTAGCGATGGTTGATTGGGGTTTATTATACAACCTGGCCAGCTCGGAGACATGCACTCCACTTTCATACTTATCAATGATCTTTTTCTTCATCTCTATTGTAATTCTCACCCTTATCTCTCTCTCCAGGTATTGCTGTAGGGTTGGCACTAGAAGCTTTCTTGGGGCCCATGGTCACTTATTTTCCAGAAAAAGCACCGAAAACACTGTAATAATACGAAATATTCCGATTGTATGCTTGGATGTTACCGCGGAGGCTGGCTGGTAAACAATGCCACCGGCGGAACATGTGAGCGTGGTTCAGGCCGCACATTGGACGCGTCTCGGACGAAAATCGGTAAGCGGGTTTTTAAGCGGTATGTGAGGCAAAATTTTTGCAATTAAAGTAAGCGGTATGCGAAATAATCGCTATGTGATGCCATCGTTATGCGGGGGTCCACTGTACTTGCAACATCTGCCACATTGCTCCTCTATCCACTCTATCATATGCCTTTTCTAAATCCATAAATGCAATAAAAACTTCCCTACCTTTATCTAAATACTGTTCACATATATGCTTCAATGTAAACACTTGATCTACACATCCCCTACCCACTCTGAAACCTCCCTGCTCATCCGCAATCCTACATTCTGTCTTACCTCTAATTCTTTCAATTATAACCCTACCGTATACTTTTCCTGGTATACTCAGTAAACTTATTCCTCTATAATTTTTACAATCTCTTTTGTCCCCTTTCCCTTTATATAAAGGGACTATACATGCTCTCCGCCAATCCCTAGGTACCTTCCCCTCTTTCATACATTTATTAAACAAAAGTACCAACCACTATAACACTATATCCCCCCTGCTTTTAACATTTCTGTCATGATCCCATCAGTTCCAGCTGCTTTACCCCCTTTCATTCTACGTAATGCCTCACGTACCTCCCCCACACTTACATTCTGCTCTTCTTCACTCCTAAAAGATAGTATACCTCCCTGGCCAGTGCATGAAATTACCGCCTCCCTTTCTTCCTCAACATTTAAAAGTTCCTCAAAATATTCTCGCCATCTACCTAATACCTCCCTTTCCCCATCTACTAACTCCCCTACTCTGTTTTTAACTGACAAATCCATACTTTCCCTAGGCTTTCTTAACTTGTTTAACTCGCTCCAAAATTTTTTCTTGTTTTCATTAAAATTTCTTGACAGTGCCTCTCCCACTCTATCATCTGCTCTCCTTTTGCACTCTCTCACCACACTCTTCACCTTTCTTTTACTCTCCATATACTCTGCTCTTCTTATAACACTTCTGCTTTGTAAAAACCTCTCATAAGCTACCTTTTTCTCTTTTATCACACCCTTTACTTCATCATTCCACCAATCACTCCTCTTTCCTCCTGCCCCCACCCTCCTATAACCACAAACTTCTGCCACGCATTCTAATACTGCATTTTTAAAACTATTCCAACCCTCTTCAACCCCCTCACTACTCATCTTTGCACTAGCCCACCTTTCTGCCAATAGCCGCTTATATCTCACCCGAACTTCCTCCTCCCTTAGTTTATACACTTTCACCTCCCTCTTACTTGTTGTTGCCACCTTCCTCTTTTCCCATCTACCTCTTACTCTAACTGTAGCTACAACTAAATAATAATCCGATATATCAGTTGCCCCTCTATAAACGTGTACATCCTGGAGCCTACCCATCAACCTTTTATCCACCAATACATAATCTAACAAATTACTTTCATTACGTGCTGCATCATACCTTGTATATTTATTTATCCTCTTTTTCATAAAATATGTATTACTTATTACCAAATCTCTTTCTACACATAGCTCAATTAAAGGCTCCCCATTTACATTTACCCCTGGCACCCCAAATTTTCCTACTACTCCCTCCACAACATTTTTACCCACTTTAGCATTGAAATCCCCAACCACCATTACTCTCACGTAAATATATTGCTTTATATTATTATCTGACTTAGTTATATTTATTAGGTAGGATGTAACATTTATATATTATTCAGTGCTCATAGTTCGAGTGTTAATTAGCTGACAACATTGTCTAACTACTTTGTTTTCTCTCCGCTCGTTACGATGCCAGCTTCTGTGTTGCTAGGCAGCAGCAGTCCACGGAGAGTCACGTGATCGGGGGGGGGGTGATCACACCTCGCCTGGAGTAGTCCGCCTGGGCTGCGCTGCCTATTGTCTGTTTGACTTTCTTCTAACAAGACACCCCTCACCTGCTCTCCCTTGTGGGCCCTTCTTAGAAGATCGTTTCTGTCGCTTTCTTGTTGTTAGTTCTGTGTAACTCTGTTCACAGATCATAGCCTAGACTTAGTGATTTTCGACATTGTACTGAGGTTGTGTGTCGCATAGACACACTGAGAAACTCAGGTCCTGAGCTGTAGCTTCTGACCTAATTTGTACTGGTATCTGTGTACTGTCACAGTCGGGGATTCTCTTATGCTGAACTTAGATTCAGTAGTATGGGAGTTTTGTGACTTTTGTGGAGGATCTGCAGATGGTCCCTACTTAGTGTCATTATATTATCTCCTTGTTCCTGATTCTGTGTCGTTGTTGCTTGTTATATTGTTGTTCAGCTTATCAGTCGTTTTATTGTTCAAGCAAGCTGTTCTGATTGCCAGGTTGGTCAAGAAGTTAGTTTATGTGAGGACTTTTAGTCAGTCACTGGTTAAGTCTAGTCGAGTCTTGAGACATAGCGAACTACTTAGAGCACTTACACACGTACACACAAACTTATTTGTATATATGTGTATTATGTTATTAAATTCTAATAATGTACCAGACAGTACTTAAAAGCCATAAATATGTGCCTTCAGTACAATAATACTGTACACGAGAGAAGTGTAGGAACTTGTATCCTATATTATATTCAGTTGATTACTATAATTTACTTTGATAATATACGCCTAGACAATTTTGTTAATAAACTTATTAAATTTTAATTTCTTTAGTTAGTAGCCTACCAGTTGTAATCCTGAAGCACTATTGAATCTTACTGAATTCTAATGGATAATTGGACCAGGATACTGACTGCTTGTTGCAAAAACCCAGTAACAGGCTGGATGCTAGACTGGCAGTCCTTTCTAGTATTCACTGGAGATCTCTATGCTTATTAGAAATCGCGCTTTTTGTAACATCATCCTATCTTGAGTAATGTCAGGAAAATGTTGGTGTCTAGTGATTTATTAAAAAGTAATGTAATGGTGGATAGAGGACTTGAGCCACTAGTTTGTACAATAATGGTGGGACATGAGCTAGATTTCCAGATTTATTTTTTAGTGAATTAATAATCATGGTGACTTCAGTGAGTTCAGTTGGGGCAAGATAGAGGGATGTTGGGTAGTTTCCATCTAAGTAATCACTCCCTTGGGTATAGTGCTTGGAATTTTACTGGCGAGACTTGATCCTATGGTTGAAAAGAAGTTATCGATCTTGTTAGCCATTGCAGCTAACAAGATAATAAAGCACGTTGTCCAATAAATGTCCAAGTAGCCATTCTGATATGCAGTCATAAATGGGTTGACATTATTTATACAATTATTACAATATTGCAGTAGTCTGCATAACAATAAATCTTCTATTTTTTGTTTGAATAAAAATTCAAAATAGAAAGCGAGAGTAATATCAGAGGGGCCTGGAGACGTGACTGACGAACAAAGAAAATGTTATTTTAGAGCCAGGAATGTCTGCATTGTTCATTCTGGACCCTATTTTGAAATTGTCATATTTTTTAATTTTTGTGAAATTGGCCAAATTGCAAATTTCTGACCACGTTATTGGGTAGTTGAAATCGGTAAATGGGCAGTTTCTTGTACTCAATCGATAGAAAAAATGGAGTTCTAAAGAAACAGCAATGAGTTTGGTCGCCTGAAACAATAGAATTACTTGAAAATAGGACTCAAAATGGGCAAAATCGCTGATTCGTAAATATCGCTGAAGTCGCTAACTTCGCGAGAGTGTAATTCTGTCAGTTTTCCATCAAATTTTATTCTTTTGGTGTCCTTACAATTGGGTAAAGATTCTTTATCATTTTATAAGAATTTTTTTTTTTTTTTTTTTAGAAAATTTTGCGACACCAGGAGATGCCTCAGGATTTGGGGTTGTGACAGTCAAGGGGTTAAAACTAGATTATATATCAATATAGCACCTGATTTAGACTTATTGTTGCAGTAATGCTAATGTAAACTACTCACAATAGCCTTCTGCAGCACTGTATACATTCCACTTTTGAAAAGATTATTGGACCAACATTACTTAACTCATTGTGCCATGGAAAAAAGAGTAATCTTGCACTTGTCTTTGACACATGTCTGCCATCTTTATCTTAGTCATTTTACTCCCTTTTCATGATTAAATATTTTTTTGTCTCTTCCTCAGTACCTGCATGTGCACAACGTTCTCCACAGGGATCTCAAATCACAGAATATTTTCCTTACCCGATCAGGACTTATTAAACTGGGTGACTTTGGCATTGCACGAATTCTGAATTCTTCTGTTGATATGGCAACAACAATGATTGGAACTCCTTCCTACATGGTATGTTATCTGTTGTATGGGTGCTCCTTGATTTACAATGGGGTTACGTTATGATGAACCCATCGTAAGTTGAAAGTGTCATTAAGTCAAATATATGATAACTTTTTTTTTCCACAAACCAGCTGTATCCCACCGAGGCAGGGTGACCCAAAAAGAAAAATGAAAGTTTTTCTTTTAAATTTAGTAATTATACAAGAAGGGATTTATATAAATACTACATAAAGAAATAACACGGTCACTGATTAAGTAAATAAACAAATAATTCCCTGTAACTAATACGTACCAGTATTGCAGAGAAAATAAATGAATACAATTCAATTAAATTTAAAATTCAAGTTTTCTCTTAAGGGTTACAATGGGGGGTTTACGGGTTTTTGGGGGTTTTTTTGTGGTTTACTTTTTTAAAAAAATACTAATTCAGAGGGGGCCACAGGACACCAGCAGGGCTAGGCATTTCGAGCAGACTTTTTTAAATTTTTAAACATTAATCCTTACAGATAAGTTTTAAAGGGCTAATGAGACATCTAATTTTGAGTTTAGCAATGTAATGCTTTTTTTTTGGCCAATGAAGGGTTTATTTGAGAAACATAGGCAAACTATACTGGTTAGGATTTATTATTTTAAAGATTAAGATTAGTATTTCACCTAGGTAGTAGGTTCGGAAGAACAGCAACTTCAGGATTACCGTCTGCCAAGTAGGTTGTAAAACGTAAGCCTTAAATTGTTTTACATGATGGAGATTGCTGGTGTCCTTTTTCTGTTCATGAAACTGCAAGATTTCAGGTACGTCTGCTACTTCTACTTACACTTAGGTCACACTACACTTACATGTACAAGCACATATATAGCACACCCTCTGGGTTTTCTCTATTTTTTCTAGTTTCTTATTCATGTTTAATTCCTCTTATTCCATGGGGAAGTGGAACAGAATCTCCTCCGTAAGCCATGTATTGTAAGAGGCGTCCTAAAATGCCGGGAGCAAGGCTAGTAACCTCTTCTCCTGATATATATTACTATTGTTAAAAGGAGAAAACTTTCGTTTTCCATTGGGCCAACCCCCTCGGTTGGGATACGTCTGGTTGTGTTGAAAGAATAAAGATTAGTATTTCTGGGTTTATAGTCAATGGGTGAGTGAGTGTAATTTTGAAAGACCAGGTGGTTATCCTGTAGTTAGTTGTCGGGGTGGATCAGGGAGATAAGATGTTTTCTAACTGTAGTTTTGAAAGTGATGAATGTGTCTGCAGTTCTAGAATTTTCAGGTAGGGTATTCCAGATTTTAGGTCCTTTGAAATACATTGAATTTTTGTAAAGGTTTAGTCGAACTCGGGGAATGTCATAGAGATGTTTGTGTCTGGTGTTATGCCTGTGGATCCTGTCACAACTATCAAGAAAGTGTTTTAGGTCAAGGTTAATATTGGAATTTAAGGTCCTGTAGATATAGATTGCACAGTAGTAAGTGTGGATGTTCTGAACAGGGAGTAAGTTTAGATCTATGAAGAGTGGGGGGGGGGTGTTGCCAGGGATGGGATTTAGTGATTATTCTTACTGCGGCTTTTTGTTGGGTTATTATTGGCTTTAGGTGTGTTGCTGCAGTTGAACCCCAAGCACAGATAGCATAGGTGAGGTATGGATATATAAGTGAATGGTATAGTGTGAGATGGGCAGTTTGCGGTACGTAGTATCGTATCTTGGAGAGGATCCCCACCATTTTGGATACTTTTTTTGTTATGTGTTGGATATGGGTGCCGAAATTTAGGTTGTTGTCGAGGTATAGGCCAAGGAATTTGCCCTCATTATGTCTGGCAATTAGAGTGTTGTCGATCTTAATGTTAAGTTGCGCAATACCTGCTCTGCTACCAAACATAATATAGTAGGTTTTGCCAGTGTTAAGTGTAAGTTTATTGGCTGTCATCCAAGTCGATATTTTGAGTAGCTCCTCGTTAACAGTGGTGTTGGGGTGGCAAGATTAGGTGGGAGGATGACATAAGTCGTGTCGTCAGCAAAGAGAATGGGTTTCAGGTGTTGGGATATGTTTGGAAGATCATTGATGTAAATGAGGAAGAGCAGAGGTCCAAGGACACTTCCCTGCGGAACTCCAGTATCAAGTGGCCGTATTGATGAGGCTGTGTCTTTAATGGTGACATACTGATACCTATTAGAAAGGTAGGATTTAAAATATGCAAGTGCATGGCCTCTTATACCATAGTGGTCAAGTTTGTGGTGTAGGATGCCGTGGTCTACTGTGTCAAATGCTTTTTTTAGGTCAATAAAAATTCCTAGCGGATATTCCTTATTTTCCAATGCTTTGTAAAGTAAGTCTAGCATTTTTATAATTGCATCATTAGTGCTTTTATTTTTCCTGAATCTAAATTGGCAGGGGTTGAGTATGTTTTGTGACGTTATAAATGAATATACGTAGTCTCCTGTGCACGAGTTTCTCGAAGATTTTGGATAGCAATGGTAAGTTTGATATTGGCCTATAGTTGTTTATGTCTGTAGGGTCACCACCTTTATGTATTGGTGTAACCCATGCTGTCTTGAGTAATGTCGGGAAAGTGCTAGTTTCTAGTGACTTGTTAAAAAGTAATGTAATAGCATGCGAAAGGACATGGGCCGCTCGCTTGTACAATAATGATGGGACGTGAGACAGATTCCCCGAGTTATTTTTAAGTGACTTTATGATCGCGGTGACTTCCGTGGGCTCAGCTGGTACAAGATAGAAGGAATTTGGGAAATTCCCATCTAGGTAGTCCCCGGCACGGGCATTGGTACGTGGGATTTTACTGGCGAGATTAGATTCTATGTTTGAGAAGAAGTCGTTTATCCTATCAATAATGTACGGTACAAAAAACAAGTTTTACATCATTGTAAAGTCAAAATATCATAAGTCAAAGTATGGTGTTAAATACTGTGATATTTTTACTACCCTCAAATGTTTGTTCTATAGAACTGCAGCATAGAGCAACTGACAATAATGGTTCTGAATAATTTTCTATGGCTATTTACACTAAATTCACTGTATAGATTAATGATGAGTACGAATACAACACCTCGCATAACAGGACAATTTAATATACTTTGGTTTTGCCTTTCAGAGTCCAGAATTATTTGCTGGTCTTCCTTACAACTACAAATCGGATATATGGGCTTTAGGATGTTTACTTTATGAATTGGCAACTCTAAAACACCCTTTTCCTGTCCGTGATATGTCGTCTCTGATCTACAGAATATACAGTGGCAAGGTGGGTACACATGTTCAGATATTATTATCCGTTTTTTTTTTTTTTTTTTTTTTTTTTTTTTTTTTTTTTTTTTTTTTTTTTTTTTTTTTAACATGCTGGCTGTCTCCTACCAAGGCAAGGTGACCCAAAGAAGAAGAAACTTTCACCATCATTCACATTATCATTCTTGCCAGAGGCTTGCAGATATGACAGTTTTAGATGTCTCTCTAAACAGCAAATATCTCAAACCCCTTCTTCAGAGTGCAGGCTAAAACAGAGAGAACCCCTAGGTTCAACCAGTGATTCACAGAGGGAGAGAAAGGAAAGAACAAGACCATGGACAGCTACAGAAAGTAAAGTGCAGATGAGTATAGAGAAGTGAGGAGATAGAGATAGAGAGGTAGATAAAGAGAGATAGATAGATAAAGAAAGATAGAGAGAGAGAGAGAGAGAGATATGAATATACTAGTGGTACTTCCCACCTCCAAATATCATTAATACTTTGATAATTTCTTTATGCATGGGTATAATTTTTTGGAGTAATAAAAAGTACATGTATAGGTTTCCCACCTGGCTAGTGGCACATAAAGTGAATTCACAAGTGCCGCACATCTTGATTAACCCCTTAAGTGTCCGTGCTGTAGTATAACGGGTTTGAAGTCTCTGTCCATGCCATAGACCTATGTGATGAGCTCGGCTCACTCAGAGAAGCTGGGAGTGGTAATTTTAGGCCTTGATATGAGAGAATGGGTCAATGCAGTAAGTATGCAACATTTACAAAAAAAAAGTCCTGCCCTCACAGTGCATAATGGGGAAAAATTGCAACCCTCCAGGTTTTTTTTTTATTTAAATTAGCAACTTTGCATTGTATTTTTGAATGGATTTTATTATTAAATTCTCGGTTTCTTGGTATCAGTTGATAGAATGGAAGATATATTATAGAAATAGAGATGATTTTGATTTGTTTTAGGACTGGAAGTAGCATGAAATTGAGCTCAAAAGTAACAGAATATTTTTTTTTTTAATTCTTGGACACTGGATATTTCTCACATCAGGGGTGTGCACACTTAACCCTTTGACTGTTTATGTCGTATATATACGTTTTACTCGCCACTGTTTCCGACGTATTTATACGCGTAAATTCTAGCAGCTTCAAATCAAGCAGGAGAAAGCTGGTAGGCCCACATGTGAGAAAATGGGTCTGTGTGGTCACTGTGCACCACATAAAAAAAATCCTGCAGCACGCAGTGCATAATGAGAAAAAAAAGACTGACTGTTTTTTTGGATTAAAATGCCGACTTTGAGGTGTATTTTCTTACAGTATTTATCGTTGTATTCCCGTTTTCATGGTCTCAGGTGATAAAATGGAAAACATATTATAGAAAAAGAGATGATTTTCATTACTTTCATGATGAAAATGACCTTGAAATTGAGCTCAAAATAGCGGAAATGTTCGATTTTTACCAATGGTCAGGAGTAAGCAAATTACACCACACGTCCAATACACATCAACTGGGGAGTCTAATATTCTTTCACTAATGCACTGATATTATTTATATCATTTTTACAATAATGCATTAGTCTGCATATCAGTAAATTTTGTATTTTTTTGTATGAATTATAAATCAATATAAAAAGCAATAGTAATAGTGTATAAGAGGGGCCTAGAGATGTGACTAATGAACAGAGGATATGTTATTTTAGTGCCAAGAATGTCTACATTGTTTACTCTGGACCCTATTTTGAAATTGGCATCTTTTTAATTTGTGTGAAATTGGCCAAATTGCCAATTTCTGACCACTTCATTGGGTAGTTCAAATCGGTAAATGGGCGTTTTCTTGTACTCAACTGATAGAAAAAATGGTTGTTCCAGTTTGGTCAACTGGAACAACGGAATTGGCCAAAAACAGGGCTCAAAGTCGGCGAAATTGCCGATGCGTATATATTGCCGAGACCGCTAACTTTGCGGGAGCGTAATTCCGTGAGTTTTCGACCAAATTTCGTACTTTTGGTGTCATTACCATTGGGAAAAGATTCTCAATCATTTCATAAGAAAAATAATTTTATTTTTTTCCAAAACTTTTGCGACATAGAATGACAGTTTCAGAAAGGGGCTTGCGACAGTCAAAGGGTTAGGGAATTAATGTTTACCAAAGAAATTGAGTTTACCACAAATGCTACAAATGATCATTGACACACAAAAATGAATAGTCAAAAACAGCTGAGGAAAAAATTAAATAAAAATTTCATTGATAATCGTCATTACGGATGGTGGCATATCAAGATTTTTGCCATTATTGATACTTGGTTTTAGGTTAATACCAATGCCATCAAACTAAGCTTATACCTACCACTACCATCAAAATTAGCAGATAGCCACTGATATCTATACTCGGTTTTAGGCCACTGCCTATACTGTTAAAATTAGCCAATACCATCGATACCTATACATCGGCACACTCCAATCCTAGTCGCATTTTACCCTTCTCCTCCTATCACCAACCAACCTTGTCTGTCTGGGTTAAAGTGCACATGTTATGAACATATGAATGCAATATCTCCTTAAGACACCTGCTGTCCATGTTCACCCATCAGTAAAATAGGTACCTGGGTGTTAGTCAACTGGTGTGGGTTGCATCCTAGAAGAAAACTGACCTAATTGACCCAAAATGCTCTATACAAGGAGGAGCTTTCTATATAGTAGTATGTCATTGATGTCAACTAGGCTTGCATACCTTGTACATGTACTTGTAGAAATAGTTTTTTTTTTTTTTTCCCCAACAAGTCGGCCATCTCCCACCAAGGCAGGGTGACCCAAAAAGAAAGAAAATCCCCAAAAAGAAAATACTTTCATCATCATTCAACACTTTCATCTCACTCACACATAATAACTGTTTTTGCAGAGGTGCCCAGAATACAATAGTTTAGAAGTATATACGTATAAAAATACACATGTCTCTCCAAACTGCCAATATCCCAAACCCCTCCTTTAAAGTGGAGGCATTGCACTTCCCATTTCCAGGACTTAAGTCCGGTTATATAAAATAACCGGTTTTCCTGAATCCCTTCGCTAAATATTACCCTGCACACACTCCAACAGATCGTCAGGTCCCAAATACCATTTGTCTCCATTCACTTGTATCTAACACGCTCAGGCACGCTTGATGGAAATCCAAACCCCTCGCCCACAACACCTCCTTTACCCCCTCCCTTCAACCTTTTCGAGGACGACCCCTACCCCGCCTTCCTTTCCCTACAGATTTATACGCTCTCCATGTCATTCTACTTTGATCCATTCTCTCTAAATGACCAAACCACCTCATATGGGAATCTTTATTGAAGAAACGTTTCGCCGCACAGTGGCTTCATCAGTCCAATACAAAGTAGAAATGGGTAACGAGAGTAGAAGTTTGAGGTAATCAGTCCCTCAACCTGGAATCGATGTGTTCAGTCCATCACTCTTGTAGGAAGTGCAGCATAGGGCCAGAGAGGTGGCTTATATACTGCGGTGAGATGAGTTGAAGCAGGAGGAGGTGGGATCACAGTGGGACCTGCCACTAGTGTAAGTAGGTCGTCGTCCAAAGGTTGGGCAAGTGTTGAAGTCTTTGTACCAAGATCCCATGATGTTGCAGTGTCTGACAGATGTGATGAATGGTTTTGAAAACCGACAAGTTGAAGAATTGAGACACTTATGCAACATATGGGAATCTTTATTGAAGAAACGTTTCGCCACACAGTGGCTTCATCAGTCTCAATTCTTCAACTTGTCAGTTTTCAAAACCATTTATCACATCTGTCAGACACTGCAACATCATGGGATCTTGGTACAAAGACTTCAACACTTGCCCAACCTTTGGACGACGACCTACTTACACTAGTGGCAGGTCCCACTGTGATCCCGCCTCCTCCTGCTTCAACTCATCTCACCGCAGTATATAAGCCACCTCTCTAGCCCTATGCTGCACTTCCTACAAGAGTGATGGACTGAACACATCGATTCCAGGTTGAGGGACTGATTACCTCAAACTTCTACTCTCCTTACCCATTTCTACTTTGTATTGGACTGATGAAGCAACTGTGTGGCGAAATGTTTCTTCAATAAAGATTCCCATATGTTGCATAAGTGTTTCAATTCTTCAACTTGTTGGTTTTCAAAACCATTCATCACAGATTCCCTTCTTTGCCTCCATAAATAACATTTTTTGCCTCCACGTATACCTCAATGCACCACTCACCTTTTTTCCTTCATCAATTCTATGATTAACCTCATCCTTCATAAATTCATCTGCTGACATGTCAACTCCCAAATATCTGAAAACATTCACTTCTTCCATACTCCTCCTCCCCAATTTGATATCCAATTTTTATCTAAATCATTTGATACTCTCATCTCCTTACTCTTTTCTGTGTTCACTTTCAACTTTCTACCTTTACACACATTCCCAAATTCGTCCACTAACCTTTGCAATTTTTCTTTAGAATCTCCCATGAGCACAGTATCATCAGCAAAAAGTAACTGTGTCAACTCCCATTTTGTATTTAATTCCCCATAATTTAATCCCACCCCCCTCCCGAACACCCTAGCATTTACTTCTTTTACAACCCCATCTATAAATATATTAAACAACCATGGTGACATTACACATCCCTGTCTAAGACCTACTTTTACTGGGAAGTAGTCTCTCTCTCTTCTACACACCCTAACCTGAGCCTCACTATCCTCATAAAAACTCTTTACAGCATTTAGTAACTTACCACCTATTCCATACATTTGCAACATCTGCTACATTGCTCCCCTATCCACTCTATCATATGCCTTTTCTAAATCCATAAGTGCAATAAAAATTTCCCTACCTTTATCTAAATACTGCTCACATATATGCTTCAGTGTAAACACTTGATCTACACATCCCCTACCCACTCTAAAACCTCCTTGCTCATCCGCAATTCTACATTCTGTCTTGCCTCTAATTCTTTCAATAATAACCCTACCGTACACTTTTCCTCGCATACTCAGTAAA